AAACCCGGGACTGGGGAGGTTTGGCCTGCTGAGCAGTGACTGCCAAACCTTTCGGAGCATCCCTCTTGTTGTCTATAAAGTATATGTGTATATTTACATATGATAACATTGTTTATGTGTGCAAGCTCTAGAGTCAGACCTACTCATTCATTCTCGTTCTGCCATAGATTAGTCATAGGCCTTGGGACATTTCCCAACTGCTCAGTGTTTCAGTTTTCTTACCAATAAAGCACTCATCCTGTTAATCACAATACCTTACTCAGGAGGTTGTAAAGATTAATCTGGCCATACATGCACGGGACTTAGAACAGTTGTGTTATGTGGAGCAAGGGCTCCTTTCTAGTCACTTAAATAAACCATCCACATAGCTAGAAATTAAAAGATAGAATTTAACAACATATAAATATAACTGAGTGTTCTGATGATTTCTTCCCACATCTCACTTTGGAAACCATCACGCTAAGGAAAGCATCCTGGGGTTAGGAATCCAGGCCCATCCCCAGAAGATAAAGGGAAGTCTGAGGATGGGGAGATGGGACCAGGACAGTCTGAGCTGAGGGTTTCCAGGATAGGGAGACAGTGGTATTAAGGTGTTAGGAGGGCGTTAGTAGAGATGGCAGCCTCAGGAGAGTAAACTGTTCCAGAGTGAGTGAACCTGGGCTCAGAGGCCCCCATGTTGCTCAGCGACACCCTCAGGCGTGATGATCACTGAGGTGGCCTGGTCAGAGGAAGGAGGAAATGGGAGTTAGCCATGAGCTTTGTATAGTCACCTCTCTGTCACTCACCGCCCCCAGGTGCTGTCTGAGGTCTGTGGGCAGGACATTACCACCAAGCACATGCTGCCTACAGTTCTGCGTATGGCTGGGGATCCTGTCGCCAATGTCCGCTTCAATGTGGCCAAGTCCCTACAGAAGATAGGGCCTATCCTGGACAACAGGTGAGGTCCGGACCCTCCTTCACACACCGGCGGGGCTGATTCTAGGCATCTTAATCTTTGACCTTTGAAGTTGGAGCCTAGGGTTGGAGACCCAGCGTGGCTCTTGCTGTGTAAGCCTGGCCGGTCTCTTCATCTTCCCAA